ACAAATATCACTTGCGTCATTTATGTTTGATGCATTATGTGATAGGAGTTGATTTAAAACACTTGCTGCATATATTATCCTTTTCTAGACAAATATATCTTGAATCCCTTAAAGGTCCAGGATTGAATGCATGCTTAGCCTTACTTAGTCCGGTAGAAGTCAGATGATTTCCTGTCACCTGAAACATATAGGTAGATATCTGATCACGGTTGGCCATAATTGCTATCGTGGAAATAACCATGTGTTGATGAATGAAAAGAAGACCGGACAGGACTGTGATAGAAAAGCACAAGGCATGGAGGTCTTAGTGCCTATTTATCACCGTCTGTGTCGGTTAAGGACCGATTCTCTGGACATCCTCATGTCACGTTGAACGCATGCCTAGCACTTAGTTGGCCAGATAAGTCGTTCCAACCACGAAGCCGAGTAGCTCAATTCAGACCGGACCCCGGTAAGTGAAAGTGCGCACACTGGAGGCAGTAAGGATGTGCGGAGAGCAAATGGCGTGAGTCCAAGGGCGGGTTCGAGTCCCGATCTTCCTAGTAGATTGGTAGAATCTCTGAGGATGCGACGCTGATCGGACCCGCGAAGTTGGTTCCTAAGTTGTACCAAAGGTGACCCAATGCGACTCCGACGGGGGAAGTATGGGTTTGTGTTATGAATAATTCCCCAGCTGGGTAGGAATCGATTCGAATCGCTGTCTTTCCCAGATAGTGAGAACTTGACTGAGCAACGGCAACGTAGAGTAACTTAATGGAAACTTGCTGGTTATGATGATGCTCAAATTATTATTATAACCGGATATGGTTACTAATGCTTGTTAGCTTAATTAAGTGATTGCTCTAGTACAGGTGATAAAGCCTTGCATACTCTTTGATGTCATATTATTTCTGGTTTACAACGGGTAAGTCTAGCTGAGTACATTCTCGTACTCAGGGTTTATTCCCTCTTGTTGCAGATGACATGATATATCATAGGTATTCTAAGAACTGCCTTCATCCTGTCGTGGATGAGGACTAAACCATGGGGCATGGTACTCCTGAGTTATCTCCTCTATTCTGCTTTTGCTGGAAATGACCGTAGTACTGGCATGTATTTGAACTAAGTGTGATGTTGATGTCAAACTACTTTGCTTCCACTATTTGAATTTGGTTTGTAATAACTATGTGAACTCCGATGTATGTAAAATACTTGTGAACTATTTGTGAACTGTGATGTAACATGTGACTGGTTGTGTTGAATCATGTACGATCTTAGTTTGTATGTTGGTTTGTTTGAGATCCTTCGTGATTTCATCGGACTACCGGGTTTATTTGGGCTCAAGTACGACGGTTCGATCGCTTCGGAGATTGCTATTGTACTTGTGCTCTTATAAATTGGACGGTTCTGTTATACCACAGACCATCTCCTCCTTGCTGAGCTGCTTCAGGGCTTCGAAGTGAAGGTGCCCGAGCGCTCGTGCCAGCGCCATGCCTCATCGTCCCGGCGCGCGGCAAGGCAAAGGGGGTGCGTCACCTGCACATGAAGCACATAAAGGCGGTTGCTTCCCCGGTTCACCTTGGCGAGAAGACGGAGGCTTCTATCCAGATGCGCAGCACGCCGTCCTCAATCTCCACCCGCGAGTCGTTCTCGTCCAGCTACCCGACACTGATGATTGAATTCCTCATGGCCGGGATGTAGTACACGCCGGTGAGTAGGCGGTGCTCCCACACCTTGGCCTTGAAGATAACGGAGCCGACGCCCTTGATCTCAACGGCGGAGGCATCGCCGAACTTGACAGAGCCCTTCACGTCGAAGAACTCGCGCCGCCCGGTCATGTGGTGCGTAGCACCGATGTCGAGGTACCAGCCGTCGATCTTGTTATCACCGGTACCATTGCCGAGGAAGGCATAGGCGCGCGTTTCGTCGAGGTGGAGAAGGGCGGAGCCAACCGACGCGGGAAGCGAAAAGTTTGAACTTCCCCCCTCCCCTGTTTCTTGTTGTAGCTCGACGCACCTGTGCACCAGGAACAGGGCAGCATCCTCCTCCGCTTGCGTGACGTGAGCTTGCCCACCGCGGCGTGACAGCAGTCCTTGGCCCGATGGCCGCACTTGCCGCAGTTGAGGCAGGTGTCATCCCAGGTCGCCTTGTGCTCGCCGGTGGCGCCGCCATCAGCATCAGCCTGCGCCCGGGGTCCTTTCTCCTCCTTGCCACTACGTGGACGCCGGCGACGTTCCTTGGAGGAGCCAGACGAGCCGGAGCCTTCCTCCTCGAAGGCGCACCACTGCTCCATCGTGTACAACAGCTTGCCTCCAGCGGCGCCCGGCTCAGTGTGAGGCCCCTCCTCGCGATCTTGTACAGCCTTGAGCCTCCCGGTCACGTCCTTGACGGAGAGCTGCTCGAAGTCAAGGAGCGTCTCTATCACCATCACGATCAGGGAGTACTTCCTTGGCAAACAGCGTAGGAATTTCTCCACCACGCGTTCCTCCGTGAGGTCGGTGTTGCCGTTGTGCGCCATCTGCTCCATTAGGTTGGTTAGCCGGAGAGCAAAGTCTTCACACTTGCTCACCGGGCTGAAAGGCGAGGCGTTCCCACTCCTGGCAGAGCCGCTGCAGGGTTGCCCGGCGGACACGATCACCGCCGATGCGCACTGCGGCGATCGACTCCCACGCCAGCTTCATCGTGGTCTTATTGGCGAGGGAGGCGCCGAGCTCGGTGGGGATGGCAGCGCAGCGCCTCCAGCGCCCGGCGATCGTCGTCATAGCTGCCGACGACGATGTGGACCGCCTCCCAGAGATGCCGAACCTGTAGCTTTACCTTCAGGAGACTCCACTCGTGGTAGTTCGACTTGGTGAGCATCGGCCATGGCATCCCCGCTCCCGAGTCGCGGTAGACGGTCTGCACCACCGGCTGCGCCACCAGCGAGCGGCCGCGGCGTCCCCGGACCGCTCTGGTGACAGCGACTAAGGACGACGCCCTACTGGGCTTCACGATCCACCTGCCGGCCTCCACTCCATCTCGACGCGCAGTGCTACGACCGTGGCCGCCGCGGCTTGGACCGCAGTCGCCGCCTGCCTGGCCATCTCGACCGCCGCTGTAGTCCTTGCCTTTGCGGCAGGAAGGCGTGCGGTGCGATTGTCGTCTCCTCTTGCTGTTGGACTACCGGGGTTGATCACCGCACCGGCAGCAGCGGCGGCGCGCGCTCTCACGATCTGGCTGGCGGTGGACATGGCTGCTCACTCAAGAACCCTAGGCTCTAGATACCAATTGTTGGCTAGGTAAACACAAATGGATCTCAGATTCAGATTTGGGTAAAGGCCAGAGGGCAGCTTGGCCCTAGGCCGCTTGTTGGAATTGAAATGCAAATGGCTTAAGTCTTACACAGGTGCTGCCCCTGCTTTTATGGGCAGAGGGCCTCTACTTTCTACCTGCTCCAGCATATACCCTAACCACTAAAGTGGATGATGAGCATATCCTAATTGCTAGGCTTTAGCAGCCAAAAATAACATGACAAGGCACAGTAAGATACATAGAGGAGTAAGCACTAGGCTTAACTCACACCCAGCTTCTCCTATTTCTCCAGTTGTGCCAATGATTCCTGAGAAAGCTACTGATAAAGAGAAGACGGAGTTGCTTGCTGATTATGATGATGATCTGGATTGTGCACATCACATGTGTCTTTGTACTCATTATGATCCCACTGGTCAGTCTACGTATATTGCTGCTATATGTCAAGAGCAGTTGTTACAGCAGGGTGATGCTACAATGGAGAAATTTTTTGCTCAGATGTCTGTGGTTTGGCTTCAGCTTGACCCTCTTGGTCCACAGTTGTCACCTAGCACTTATGATCCCACATGTTGATCATCGCACGACTGATGGTGAACCTCTCGCGGATCCTACATGTTACCATCACATTATTGGGAGTCTTGTATACCTTGGTGTCACTCGTACTGATATTGCTAATTCCCTGCATATTTTGAATAAGTTCGTTTCAGCTCCACTATAGCAGTCTTAATGTTTTGATATCTTCGTAGAACTATATCTCATCATCTGTTTTTTCCTCGCTCTAGCTCTTTACAGCTCCAGCCATATTGTAATGCTACTTGGGCTAGTGATTCCTCTGATCATCTATCTCTTTCTGCCTATTATGTTTTTCTTGGTGGTTCTGTCATTGCTTGAGGATTTTTGTGTATCTGTTTCATCATTGCTCGTGATCCAATAAAGCATGGACTCACTAAGCACATTGGTGTTGATGCTTCTTATACGCTAGCACAATACAAGATGATGGTATAGCTCTTCGATATGTGCCTTCAAAGCTTCAGTTTTTTTTTGGGTGGGGGGGGGAGGGGGGGCAGACTTACGATAAGTTTGGTTCTCTTGCTAGCTTTTCTGGCCTAGCCTCGCTCAGCAAGGTAAGCCTTGCCAGCGCAGGTGAGCCAAATCAACTTACCCAGGCTAGCAAGAGAAATCCTCGCTTGCACAGACAACGAGGCAGGTAGGGAAGAGATCCAAGCACATCACCTACTCGACTACTCAGTGTGATTGATCCACCTTGAGTATGCGTGGGTGTTAGATGCAGAACTTTTGTATTTCCCCATTATATAAGGGGTTTTGTGCATATTTGCTAATACATGTACCTGTATATATTTGGGCCTAGATCCCTGACAATGAAGACAAGTGTTCACGATTGTGAATACTAACACCAACTTAAAATGTCCGCTCCTGAGAGGCTAACATTACAAATCATAGTATCAAGGCTTCGCTCTTACACACCACTAATGCCAGTGTGGCAAACCCAAACTAACACACAGGAACAAGAGGTGCAGTGGTGATTCAAGATGACACTCTTGCTATGCCAATATATCCCTCGTACTCATGGTAGTGTGGTTTGGACACACCAGAAGTATGGTCAAAGCGATAGATTTGAAAATAATTTTCGCAAACAAGTTTATATCAGTTGCTATTTTTATAAGGACATTGAAAAATTTAAGCTGGGATTAAGACACATGAAAAATGTGCACCTTTCATTAATATTTCTGCAGTCCTTTCAGAGAAGCTTCTGCTGCATGCTGCATGTTGACCATTCTGCTTTAATATAGAGGTTGATCAATTCAGATGACTGCATTAATAGTGAACACTGATAGAATAGCAAAGTTAAAACTGAAGGTGTAGTATTTCAACCTTTTGATGCTGATTCTCCCAGATGCACTGGTCACAGCCCAATCTTTCAGGAGAACTTATAACAGTGGAGCTGATACACCGCTGAGGCACATTTCGTCCTGTAGTAGATTCAAGCTTATGAAGACCATTGTATGTTTCTAGTACTGAGATCTTTGAGTTTACCTGACCAACAGTGCACAAGTTTGGCAAAACGTCCTCATAATTGAACAAATACATTCAATGCTAATGTATAATAGTTGCATGGAATTAATTATCACTACAGAGAATATGAAAATATCCTTACAATATGAACATCCCCACGGTGGGATTTCGCAACAAGATCTTTCTTCTCATTCAAGTTCCCACACTCATTGTTCATATTATGTTGAACCTTACAATTATCAGCTGATGCCACTGCCTGTTTGTTCAGATAACTCCAAAGCCTGCTTATAGGCATATAAACGCATCAAAAAATTGTAAGTGTAAAAATTGCAAAATACAACTAAATGATTAACATGCACTTAGAATACCATGCAACAAATTTTGCACTGTCATCACCGAGAAAGACCTCCAAGTCATCACGCGCTTGATATTGATGTTTTCCATTACAGATTAAAATCACAATGTACTCCTTCACACGAGGAATAAAGAAACATAATCAGTCATCATTCAGGAAAAAAAAAGATAACCAACAACAGATTTGACTAGCAAGGTATTTGTGCTACCATAATATGCCCCATTCAAATAATGCATTTGTCACTAAGACGCCCCAGTTCCATACAAATAATGTCAAAGAAGACTATGTGGTGAGCAGGCTTCATCAAAAGACATTGGTATTCGAATTCGAGTTTGCTAAATTGAAGGACTGTTCAGAACTCACTGCAGTGAGGAATATACTCTTTCCGAAAGTTGCTTTCTTCACTAACAAGATTCATCAGACAATCCTCTCATTCACTCATTTCATTATATGAATTTGTCAACTTGCCAATCTAAAAAGTATAGCGAGACAACTTAAATTTAATATAGTGTACTCAGGCTATTCACTTATAACTCCAATCAATATGGAAATACTGATGCCAACTGCATGATTTGTATCCACTGTCAACCAATAATTATCCTACCTATCAGTTCTCTAAATTTACCCATGTTAATGAAGCAGCACTAAACATCTTATGTTAAACTAAAACCAGCCGCATTCTTTAGGATTTGACTCAGGATGGATCCACCAAGTCCAATTATATACATGCATGTTGCATGTTTTTTCATAACTCATGAGTTTAGACATTGTAGGGCAGTAGTAAATTGCATGCATATAATACTGCAATCCTTAAGTTGTGAACAGAAATGTTCAAAAGTCCAACAAAGTATATAAGCAACTGGAATCTAGTGTGTGAACCAGGTGAAATGAAGATAATGAAATGGTGAGAATTGGCCATGATACAGATACAGTTAAATGCAAATTTCATCACACCACCACAATAAAAAGGCCGTTCATGGCCACAGGTGATGCACTTGCCCTTTCATGGCACAGGTGATGCACCTAAGGTTGAGACAGCATAGAGTTGGCGCTTAAGTCTTCCCTTCTCACATTCAGTGGAGACATTCACCTGACGCATCATCCGCTTCCCAGCTTCAGCTTCCATTTGGAATTGGCTACTTTTACTCGACAGAAAAAGCGCACTGAACAAATCAACCACATGATCATCTCCTACCCTCCCTCAAACCCACTAAAATCCTGCGCCGCCCCCCCCCCCCCCCCCCACCCGGGCCCAACTATATGTATTACGATAGCAGCGCCAACTTATTTTGCGCGACAGCATCGATCCCTTCGCCCACCGCATCGAGCCGCACATCTCTGGCGGCACCACGTCCTACGGCTCGAACCTGGGAGAAGAGAGGGGTAGAGGGATTGGGGTGGCGGGCGTACTGCGAGGGTGTCGTCGGTGTAGCTGCCGAGGAAACGAGGGAGCACGTTTGTGACGGCGTCGCGGAGGCCGGCGGCGGCTCGCGAGCGCCGATCCATGCGGAACGACCGCTCCTCGGCGGAGAACAGCCGGCGGCAACGGCGTACCAGCAGCTGCTGCTGCTCAGCGTAGGGCTCCGTCGCCTCCCGCCCCATCGCCGGTGGGTCGATTGAATCTTGCAGCTGCTACTGATTCCACCTCAACCGTTTGCATATCGAGATACAGGGGGCAGTACAGGGAAAGCGAAATGAACAAAGAGCAAAATTCATGTCCCTCCAGTTGCTCGAGGTGTAACTTTGTCATCACCTATCAAAATGATATTTATGGGTCTATAAATTTAGTTTCGGGTGTCATCCAAATTTAAACGGGTCCAAACTCACTTCGGATGTTGACGTGGCGCTGACGGTACATTGACATGGCTCCTACATGTGGAGCCCACATGTCAATTTTCTCTCTCACCTCTCTCTCCGAGTGATGCGGATGGGATCGAGATCGGGTCGTGCGAGCTCCTCGGCTCCAAGCGGGCGAGACCGACGCGACGGAGCAGGCAAGAGAGGTCGGTGGAGCAGGTCGCAGCAGCGTCGTGACGGTGCGCCGCCAAGCCACTTGGACTCGCCGCGGTGGTGGGGCAGCCTGCGGCGGCACGACAGCGAGCCCGCGCACCCGCCAGGCCCACCAGCGCGTTCGTGCAGTCCGTTTCGCCATGGCCGTCATCAGACAAGCCACTACCATTCTAGCTGTTGTCGCCATGGGCGTTTCTGCTGCTGCTCTTGTTAGCGTGGTTTGGCACTGGCCAAGTTTATGGATCTAGAAATAGCATTTTGACAGTTGAGGGATCTAAGTAACACCTCGTGCCAAATTGAGGGACCGGCCATTAATTTTCCTCATGAACAAATGACTAGATTAAATGAAGTACGAAGAACGGATGGCTTAGACATAATATCTCCGAATCCTTATCCCTATCCAAACATGGCCAATGTTTGGATTGTGGGAAATGAGGTCTGGGATAGAGATACGAGGCTAGATGGAAATCATATCCAGTGTTTTGATTTAGGTGGTGTTTGGATTGTGAGAAATGAGGCATGTGCTAGGGATATCGATATCTATTCTTATCCTATCCGATGTATATAATATTATTCGTATTCGAATCCAAATCCGAACCCGAATAGAAATATGAAAACAAATGTAATATCGGCGATATCCGTTCGTATCGTATCCCGTTTTCATCCCTACTTGGTTCATTGCAGCCAAGCCAGAAGTATCAGGCATTTGGTTGCCTGTATTAAACTTGGAACATGCACGAGCATTGTTTGGTTGCCAGCATACATGTTGGTGGGGTTACCAGTTTCCTGTAGTGGTAAGGTACCACCATCTAGTCTAAGAGGGTTACAAGAAGTTTTTTCATTCAATATTACATCAATTTGAAAAGCAAAATTAGAATGACTAAAGCCTGGACTAATATAATTGCACCCTCTACTACATTTTTTTTAAGAAACAGAGGGGAAAAGGCCCCCTACTAATTTCAATTTTATAGATACTAGAAGACCACTCCACGCGTTGGTGCGGAATTTTCTTAAAAATAAATCTATTACATTCGTAGCACTACTGTATGGTATTCTATATACTGTATAATATATATATGAATTTGACTTGCATGTTATTTTATTGTATCAAATTTAGTTAAAAATCGATAAGCTAATAGAAGAAAACTAATAGAATATTTGATTAATTATAGAGGAATATGTGATGAAACAAAGTATTGCACGTGGTAGAGATGACGTGGATATTTTTTGCAATTAATAAGGGATGACATGGACTTAGTGGGGAATGATGTGGACACCTTGCATGAAGAGATAGAATATCTAGTGGGTCACTTCGTGGAAAATGACGTGGACACATTGCATGAAGAGAAAATTCATCTAGTGGTGTTTAGCTTTATAAGAGTATATAGATAAGTCTATACAAAATAGAAAAACAAGATTACAAAAGCTAAAATAAAGAAAGTCAGTCCTTAAAGAAGAGATTTCTTTGAAGACTTGCACCTAAGAACAGTAAGGCTAAACTCCTCACGCAGGAGGGATTTCCAACGCCACAAAGAAAGAGATTTGACGTAACCCTGTTTGGCGGGTCATGATCCAGATTGTTTCAGCTTATTTTTCCTCACATAACACTATTAAATCATCCAGAACCATTCAAAATTCACTGTTCAGTCCACCAGCCGAACGTGCTGAATGCCATTGCGCATGGACCAGATGCACCACGCCGCTACTATCACAAGCTCCATAAAATAGGTTGCCCGAAGGACTACCGGCTGAGAGCAAGCCTATCAACGATTGGAGCATTCATGTCCCAGGTGATGTGAAGCAGCCGCCAACACCAAGCACTGAAAGAGCATTCAAAAAATAAATGGTCCTCTATTTCTTCCACATTTAGGCTGCATAAGACACAAGAGTAAGAAGACAGGTGCATATGTTTCCGCTGTAGAATATTTTTGGTGTTTCGACGATCCAAGAACAATAACCAGAAAAAAAATTATACTTTCCTCTATGGCCACTCCTCCAAAGCCACTTGAATTGTTGCAATCTCGGAGAACTTCCCATAATAGTTTTATAAGCCTACTTGCTCATGTACAAGGGCCCCCAAATACATGACCACTGATCATTCAGGTGCCACTTCAAGATTTCGACCCTATTGCCACTTGACGTCATTTGCATCACCACAAATTATGTTGTAGTAGGGGTGTGTTTTGCAACATTTGTCCAAAAACGTGGCAATAGGGGGACAGTGTTGCCACAAAAATAGTGCATTGCAATTTTTACATTTGGTGTTGCAAGAGGTGAGACCTATAGCAACCCATTTTGAAAAGTGTTGCTATTGGTTAATAATATTGCCATGATAGCATTTAGTTACATTAGTATTGATTGGCGTTGCAACTGTCTGGTGCTTTTGCAACCAAATAGAACATTATTGCTATTGCTTGAAATTATTGCCATAGTGTTGTTGGGTGGTAATATTTCTCACGACTATTGCGATAGGTAGACTGTGTATTGTAACTAAATTTCTAAGATGATGCAATAATATGTTGCTATTGCCACAATTTGTTTTGGTTGTAATATTTATCACGACCATTGCAATAGGTAACGGTTTATTGCAACTAAATATCTAAAGCGAGGCAATAGTATGTTGCTATTGCCACATGTCGGTTTGGTTGCTATAAAATCCTAGCGTCGTTGTAATATGCTGCTGTAGGAAACACCTCTACTTAGTAGGCTTTCGGTATAGCAAAAGGGCCCATGCCTGCAAATGAGTCATCTCATCTCAACTAGCGGCTTACGAGAACTATTGTCGCCCTCCTCAACTCCCGACGTCTATCGCCGTGGAAAACAACGCAACGGCGCATGGCGCGGTGCCCGTCGATCGATCAAGGAATCAGGACTCTCCTCAATCCTCTGGCGAGAGAAGGGAAAGTGCCTTGGCCTCGTCGCTGCTGGCTCTTGACGACAAGCACGCGGTGAGCAACAAGTGCATGGCCGCGCCAGCTATAGCTACTTTAGTTTGATCATGTCTCAGTTGTTGATCTAATCGGCTATTAATGTTTGCATCTTTTCCTAATCCAGTCAATTGATATTTGTGGTCTGCATTGACAATGCTTGCAACCTGATTCACGTTGCCCGACGATCGCGTAGACATGTAGTCTCCCATGCTGTAGACTTATGCAATTCTAATTTAATTCATGTTATTAGCATACTAGGGTATTCTTATTCTCAGCCTAATAATTATTTGTTAAGTATACTAGTATGTATTTAGTCAAATTTCTGGAGGCAAACATAATCACGAAATTTACATTAGTTCATACCAACTACCAGGTCATATATACATATATCTCGTGGTTCCCGACATAGCCACAAATTAACATTAGTTCACTCCCTCGGTCCACAAAAGAATGCAATTATTGTTTTTCGAGGAAACTTTAACTAAATTTGTATAAAAAAGTACTGACATCGATGATATAAAAATAAGTATCGTTAAATTATTTATAGAATATATTTTTATAATAAAGCTATTTAGAGACATAAATACTAATATTATTTACTATAAAGTTGATCAAACATGAGCTAGCTTGACCGGCACGGTTCCTACAATTGTATTTTTTTGTGGACAGAGGTAGTACAAACCAACTACCAACACATATAGTGCTTACATGCCAACTATGTAGGTCATATATACACATATACATCGTGGTTCATACAAGCGACAAACTAATTACCAACCACTACAAAAGATGACCAGGTTCTTTGCCACAACTTGAACCTCCAACTGTTCTCTGCCACAACTTGAACCTCCAACTCCTGTACACGTGCAGCAGCAGTAGCGCTTCTCTTTGGGGCTGCTGGCTCAAGGCCAACATTACCAAGAAATTTCCCTGATGGCAACAGCTTCAGCAGGAGTCACTGGTTGTTCCTCTTTTGGTGTAGGCTAAGCCATGGCAGCATCCATTTGAGCCTAACATGGTAAGAAAAATAGTTTGCATTAGTATATATGCAAATGTTCGAAAATTTCAAACAATGGCTGACTTATAAGAAAAACATAACATATGGCAGCAGTATATTGACAATATCGTTACTGAGAAAACCTGATTCCAATTCCAATGTCTAGGCTCCAATATCAACATCCAAAAGGGGTATTACTATTTGGTCCATCAAGTTCCACAACTTTTGTTTCATCTAGAAAATTCTAGATCTTGTACAAACAAAAATCAGTAAGGAACATAGATATACACTTGGAACAAGAAATGAAACAACAAAATAGCTTCAAGTCTAGAACAGTCCATTTAATTTTGATAATGCTTATCAACATAGCAAAAAACAAAACCTAGACATGTACTTACAACTGCTTCCTTCACAGGCTCACCAAAACCAGTCTTGGCCAACAGGTGGCATGGAGACTCTCTTTGGGCCTCTTGTTCCAGCAGTATTCCTGATGGTGTTCGTTGCCAAAATGTTCTGCATGTTGTGCACAATCAGCATGTTCGCTTGTTGGTTTCAGCCAGGTCTTATCAGCCATGATATAGTGTTTTTCTCTCACAACAAACCAGTATCAGTCGGGCTTATCAGTCCAGAAACCAACCTGCGAACAGGCTGAATACAAGAAAAAA